TGTATGTGTCTATGGATGGGAGATATCCAGGAGAGGTGAATCCATACAGAGAAGGTCGATTGGGAGGCCCCAGAGGCTATTAGCAAGGTCTCAGATTGAGCAGAGTGGCGGATGCAAACCTCAGAGAATACTTAAACGCCACTGAATTGTACACTGTGGGAGGTTTATGGGATCAATAAAGCCAGTTTGTAGAAAGGGGCAGCTTCTCCCTTAGGATGGGGAGAAGGAAAAAGGAGGAGGAGGAGGAAGGAAGGAAGGAAGGAAGGAAGGAAGGGGAAGAGGAAGAGGAAGAGGAAGAGGAAGAAGAAGAAGAAGAAGAAGAAGAAGAAGAAGAAGAAGAAGAAGAAGACGACGACAGCAGACCGAAGGACAGCAGCAGGGCTGGAGCTCTGACCTCGGAGTTAGCAGGAAAGATGGGGGCATTTATGTGGCAGGTGGTACTTTTCAGAGCCCCGTGCCCTTCAGTGGAGGAGCTGTGCTCCGGTGCCACACGCCAAGGCTTCTGGGTAAGCGGGTTCTGGAACCAAGGCAAGCAAATGTAGTACTGTCAACTGCCAACCACGGGGGCAAGGAAAGCAGAGCCAGGAGACCGGAGAGGATTTGGCTACCTGACTCGCTGACACCTTCCGATAAGACAAGCCAGCCGGGTAGTAGAAGGTAGCCGTGGTCCCGTAGGAGTCTTCCCCGTCATTTCTCACTGTCACCCTCAGGTTGAAGTCCCGAGGGTCTCCCACCACCAAAGTGTCCTGGCTGTGAGAATAACAAGACCATGAAGTACCAAGGGCTTCACCTCAGCACGTCTGGTTTGATATAGACAGGCTGCGGAAACTGGGAGAGGCAGGAATGTAACAGAGCAGGCACGAGGAACCTTGTGGCGCACAAATATCTCTGAAGAAGCCTGGGCTCCTTTGGGGACCAGGATTCAGGCTTAAGGGAAGCGATACCAGGACACTCACCCCATGGAACTCAGAGTGATGCTGAGGTCATCCTGGCAAATGCTGTCATTGCCACAGTTCTTTTCAAAGGGAAGCTGAACAGGGCACATCATTGAAACAAAAGAAACAGAAGTGGTTAAGGGGAGCAATTTTTATTTTTTTTCCTTTGTCACTGTTTGTTTTTTATTTATTTATTTATTAAAGATTTCTGTCTCTTCCCCGCCACCGCCTCCCATTTCCCTCCCCCTCCCCCAGTCAAGTCCCCCTCCCTCATCAGCCCAAAGAGCAATCAGGGCTCCCTGCCCTGTGGGAAGTCCAAGGACCACCCACCTCCATCCAGGTCTAGTAAGGGGGAGCAATTTTTAAAAAAATGTTTAAATGAACACCAGATGGTGGTGCACACCTTTACTCCCAGCACTCATGAGGCAGAGGCAGGAGGATCTCTGTGAGTTTGAGGCCAGCCTGGTCTACAAAGCTGGTGCCAGGACAGCTAGGGCTATACAGAGAGACCCTGTCTTGAAAAACAACAAACAAACAACAACAACAAAACGTTTAAATGAAGTTACATAAAATAAAAATGTTTCAGCAAACTCTTTCTGTTCTGTTCTCTACTCCTGCAAGGCCACGACTCCAGGACTCACCGTAGCTGTGAAGAGCCTCTGAGCATCCTCAGCCAGAACGGGCCGGAGGTCCCTAGAGGAGCCCAAGGGCTCCCCCACCAGCGTATAGTTGAGGCGCAGGATGATGGGACTCACTGAGTCCTCCACACAGACCTAAGGGAAAGTGGGGTTTGGGGCTCCGCCTTCTGTAGCCTCCCGAGACCACCCCATCCCCAGCCAGGAGTCCCGCCCTTCGCCTGCTCACCGGTAACTGCAGCTTCAGGGTTTCACATTTCCGTGTCAACCCAAAGACCTGGACCCTCCGGCGAGTGTTGTTCTTTGTCTCCTCAAAGATGGCACGGACACGGGCCTGTGTGCGGCCAGGGTCTAACGCCAGGTCGTAAGTGACAGTGCTCTGGATATCTCCTGAGAGGAGAGGGAGCAGTGTGAGGAAGCAAGGCAGGCAGAAGTCGGAGACCACAGCTTGCCTCCCAGCTGTGTGATTATCCACGTATCGGCTAGCCTCTCTTAATTCATTACTTTCCAAGAAGGAACAGTAACAATGGCCCTCAAGGGGTTAAAAAGAAGAAGAAATGAGGTCGTGCCCACTGAGTAAGCCCTCAAAAAGCGTGCTAGGGTTGGAGATTTAGCCCAGTGGTAGAGCACTTGTCTAGCAAATGCAAGGCCCTGGGTTTGGTCCTCAGCTCCAGGAAAAACAAAAAAAGGTAACAAGGTGCAATGCTGGACCAATGGTGGCGCACGCCTTTAATCCCAGCACTCGGGAGGCAGAGGCAGGTGGATCTCTTTGAGTTCGAGGCCAGCCTGGTCTAGTCTAGTCAGGAGTTTCAGGACAGCCAGAGCTATTACACAGAGAAAGCCTGTCCCCTGGGGCGGGGGAGGGATGGTCTCTATTCCATAAGATATTAAAAAGCTATTTATGCTCCTTTTAAAGTTTTGTTTTGTTTGTTTTATTTGCTAGTTTGGCTCTGATATTCTCATCTGGGCATTCACAGTTTAGTAGTAAATGGTTTGAGAAGAATTTCTATGTAGATTTCATGACACCTTCTCTCTACTGTTCCTAGTCTCCAAAACATTTCTATTTCTAGCCAAGCTGGCTCTTCTGACCTCTGGATCGGTAAGAATGAAGCTGGAAAAACATCTATTCTCCTCTTCCTGTTTCTCTCCCTGTCAGCAACTGCTATTCTCCTGCCAAAGCGCAATGCTTCTCTTTACGAACGGGGGCAGGGAAGAGTCAGGCCATTGGCAACAAAAACCCTGTTCAACTTGATCAATTGAATCTCCCAAGCCAGTTCTCTCTTGCTTGAGAATGAAGCTGTTTGAAAATGGACGGAACTGGAAAATACTAGATTAAGTGAGCAAGTGCCAACTCGGAAGGGCAGACCCCAAATGTTCTCTGTTCTGTGTGGACCCTGGCTTCTGTCTCTAACAGGATCTCGCTTCTGATGGGTGAGAGTGTGGAGAGGACAGAAAGTGACAGGGGCCGCCATGAGGAGAAAGGAGGCGTTAGGGAGATGAGCAAGGAGAGCGACAGGGCCCATGTGACAGGAAAGAACAGAGAGATACTGGAGGGCGGGGGTTACGTGGGGTTGGAAACACCGAGATGGGGAGGCAACCGAAAATAAGTATGTATGAAAATGCTATAAAAGAAGGTAAATATTAGCCGGGCGGTGGTGGCGCACGCCTTTAATCCCATCACTCGGAAGGCAGAGGCAGGCGGATCTCTGTGAGTTCGAGGTCAGCCTGGTCTACAAGAGCTAGTTCCAGGACAGGAACCAAAAGCTACGGAGAAACCCTGTCTCGAAAAATAAAAAAAAAAAAAAAAGAAGGTAAATATTGTAAGATAATTAATAAAAAAAACTATGTTGGTCTTATATTGAAGTTCTTGATCCATTTAATGTTGAATTATGCTCTACATAGCAAAAAACAAAATAAACAAAAAAGTTATTTGAGGAGCTGGAGAGGAGGTTTGGTAGCTCTGAGCACACACTGCTCTATCTGAGGACAGGAGTTCTGCCTCCAGCACCCTTGCCAAGCAGCTCCCAATGCCTGTGACGCCAGCTCCAGGGAGCCAGCGCCCTCTTCTGGCCTCTGTGGGCACCCACAGTCCTGTGCACACACCTACACAGAGACACGCACAGGACTAAAGAGACATACAATTAAAAATATAATAAGTCTTCCTTCAAAGTAATTTTTAAAGATTACTTGGCAAAGAAAATTTTAAAAAGAGCTGAATGAAGCATGTTTGGAAACGCTGTAAAACTTGTCTGAGAATGAAATATATTGGTCTCTAGCTTTGTATGTTTAAAATAAATAGTCATTGAAAAACCACTTTGGGTAGATAATGATAAAAATGTTAAGTTAGGAGTGTCCTCAGCTGTAATGTGTTTGCCTAGCATACACAAAGTTCTGAGTTCAGTCCTCAGCACCGCATAGAACTGGGTAAGGTAGTTCTAGTGCGTGGAAGTAGAGTTCCTGGGCATATGACTAAGGTCAGCTTTGCCTTGAAAAAATAATTTATTGTCTTACTATTACTGCATTGTTGGGACTAATGAGTCCAGGCCTTCAGGGGCTCTTCCCTGCTAGAACCTTCTAATTGAAGTTACTAGAAGCTGTGCCTAGCTTAGAGGATCAGAGGATGGGATTTTCACCTGTTGGCCATTGACTGCAGTGTATTTAAGCCTCCGTGGTGCTAATAATAAAGAGGGGCTTTTGGTATCAGTGTCTGAAGGTCTATGTGTCGGTCTGTCTCTGTGTGTGTGTGTGTGTGTGTGTGTGTGTGTGTGTGTGTTCTCAACCTCCAGCCCCTTTCCCGAAGCTCGCAAACTGGGGTCTAGCGCATAGAACACAGACTGGGGCCGCGGTGCGTGGCATTGTATTAAGTAAAAACAGGAGGTTTCAGGTGGATAGAGTATAACAATCTATGTAAATTTTAAACATACATAATAGATGTAATGAAAATACAAAACTATGAACAGATATTCTTACATTTAAAAAGAGAAAGAAAGAATAAAAGAAGGAAAGAAAGAAAGGAAGGAAGGAGGGATGGATGGAAGGAAGGAAGGAGGGAGGGAGGGAAGGAAGGAGGGAAAAAGGGAAGGAGGGAGGGAGGGAGGGAGGGAGGGAAGGAGGGAAAAGGGAAGGAGGGAGGGAAGGAAGGAGGGAACAAGGGAAGGAGGGAGGGAGGGAAGGAGGGAGGGAGGGAAGGAGGGAGGGAGGGAAGGAGGGAACAAGGGAAGGAGGGAGGGAGGGAAGGAGGGAGGGAGGGAAGGAGGGAACAAGGGAAGGAGGGAGGGAAGGAAGGAGGGAACAAGGGAAGGAGGGAGGGAGGGAAGGAGGGAGGGAGGGAAGGAGGGAACAAGGGAAGGAGGGAGGGAAAGAGAAAAGGAAGGGAGGGAGGGAAGGAGGGAGCCCAGTTTGCTCACAGACCTGGGGGTGCTAGTTCTCTGGACTACTGACACAACCCACAAGTGTCACCTGGTCACTTCTCTGTAACGGTTGCTGGGCTTCCCCGTTCATTCTAGCCAGGCTTTAAAAGGCTGTCAGCACCAGCCAGAACTTTCTTCTGCTAGAAGCCTGGGCAGACCGAGATGACACGCTGTCATGGAAACCCAGAGGTTCAGCCAGCACCTCTCACCTTCTTGCAGCCGATCCCTGGTGCTCTTGCGGACACGGAGGCAGACTGTGACCTCCCCAGCATCCTTGTTTCTTGAGGCTTGATTCTGACATTCAAACACATTCCTTGCTAGAATATTGGGAATGAATTCCATGGTTGCCTCAAGTCTTAACACGGGCTGGGCTCTAGAGGGATACCAGAGAGTCATCAGGAACCAGAGACGGCAGAAACATTCCAAAGGCAAAGAGCTGGCTCCATCAGAGGGGTTCTCACCTGAGCAGCAGGAGGTGCCCCTGGGCCCCCACAGCTAGGTCTGTCAGGCCATCCATTGTGAGGTCCTTGCCTCCGCTCAGCGACTGACCGAAGTACTGGAGCTTGGGGGAGAAGCTGGCACCTGCGATGCGCTGAGGGCAGGAAAGGAGAGAGGAAGGAGGAAAGAGTGTGACTGGGCGCTGAGGCAGAGGCTCTCTTCATTACCACCCAGCCTTTTCAAGGAATTCAGATGACTTAAGACCCACGAAGGAGCTGTTTAACTTTAAGTCACGATCTCCAAACAGTATCCAAAATTGTTCTGGATTATCTGAGTTTCCTAAAGAAAGTTAAAAGTTTTACAGGAAAGAAATTAAATATAAAAAAAAAAGAAATTAAATATATATACCATTTCACCCACCTGGATCTTATTTATATGGTCAGAAAAAAAATCTCTCTCTTTTTTTTCCTGAGACTTGGTAATAGCTCTGTAGACCAGGCTGGCCTTGAACTCACAGAGATCCGCCTGCCCCTGCCTCCCAAGTGCTGGGATTAAAGGCATGCGCCACCACTGCCCAGCTCAAAATTATCTCTTTCATTACATCTATCTTCCTTGAGGAAGTGTTCATGTTAAAGGCCAGAGAACAACTCTTTTGTTTGGTTGGTTTTTCAAGACAGGGTTTCTCTGTAGTTTTGGAGCCTGTCCTGGAACTAGCTTTTGTAGACCAGGCTGGCCTCGAACTCACAGAGATCCACCTGTCTCTGCCTCCCAAGTGCTAGGATTAAAGGCATGCGCCACCACCACTCGGCCAGAGGACAACTTTTAAGAATCATTTCTCTCCTCCCATGATGTGGGCCCTGGGAGCAAACTCAGGTACTCAGGTTTGGCAGTAAGGGCCTCTACCTTCTGAGCCCTCTCACCAGCCCCAAACTCTCATATAAATACAAGAAGTAAGAGGAGAAAGAAGGCATTGGCAATTAACACAGTAACACCCTCAGCAGTGGAAAGGCAATGCTAAACAGAACCAGGCAGTGTGGGGCCAGCAAGGCTCTCAGCAGAGAATGGGCCCAGCTAGCAGAAGATAATCAGAACTGTGGTTGTTCCTGAGGTAGGAGGTAGGCTAGGAATTGGCTGGGGAGGAAACTTCCTATATTGTGTGAAGAAGACTGAGGTTTGGAAAGGCTGTAGCAAGATCTGGATATATGGCTCAAGCTAGCCTTGAACTTACTAGGTAGCCCAAGAGGGCCTTTCCCTACCTCTGCCTACCTGTGTTCTGGCATTACTGGCGTGTTCCACCACATCCAGCAACATGTCTGTATATCGGAAAGGATATGAGGTACATTTGTCAAGACTCACTGAATAAATACTTATGCGTTTTGTCTTAAAATAACTGCGAACACATATTCTAGTTAATAACCTACGTGTCAACGCTATTACGGACAAGGAGAACTGATAACGCAACTAATTTAAAATGCATCAAAGAGAAAGAAAATGCTGGGCGTGGAAACAGAACTGTAATTGTAGCATTGGAGGTTCAGGCAGGAGGATCATGAATTTCAGGCCAGCCTGGGTACGGAGTGAGACCTTGTCTCAGAATAGATAGATAGATAGATAGATAGATAGATAGATAGATAGATGATAGATAGATAGTTGATAGACAGACAGACAGATGGAAAGATACGAGAACAAAAGAACAAAGCTGGGGAGATGTCTCGGTGGGTAAAGGACAGGCTGTACAACTATGAGAACCTGAACCCCTAGCACCATGTGAATACGGGGCGTGTCAGTCTGCAGCCCAGCCCTGGTGGGTGGAGACACAGGGATCGTTTGGGCTTGCTGGCTGGCCAGGCCAGCCAAACCCGCAAGACCCAGGTCATCGGCAATGATAAATAGAAATAAAAATGATCCTGGTGAGCAAGATAAGCCAAGCACAGAGGGACACACTGCCTGTTTTCTTTCACATGCAGAATCAAGGCTTTTAGGGCTGTCACGTGATCCAGAAATCCCACATCTCAATTTCATGCAAAAGGATCAGCAGAAGATCTTGAAGGAACAGTGGCACATCCATGCTCCTTACCACACCACTCAATGCAAATACGCTTGCCAACACTGAGCCCAAACAAGAATGGGCTGTCAACAGCCAATCGCTGATGGAGAAGGGGCTCAAGGGTCTGCCATGCCCCCTACTGAACAAGTAGGCGCCGGTGGAGCCTGGGAATTAGGGAATTACTGCCATCAGGTTGAACCTGGTGAATTCGCCAGGCTCAAGAAGAGGGCTCCAAACCCATGGTCACATAGTCGGCCCTGGTCAACTTTAGTGAGTCTCAAATCAAAACAAAACACATGAGGATGGCTATGTAGGGAGGAAGGAGACCTAGGAAGAGACAAGGGAAGATGGGGGCGAGAGAGTTCAGAATGTATTGTAAATGTGTGTGAAAATGTCAAAGAACTTAATTTGGGGGCTGGAGAGGAAGCTCAGCACTTAGGAGCACTTACTGCTCTTACAGAGGACCCGGGGTTGATTCCTGGCACCCACACCAGGCAGGTCACAACTGCTTGTGACTCCAGCTTCAGGAATCCTCTACCCTCTGACCTCTGTGGGCATCTGCATGCATGGGTGCACATAAGCTCATCCAGCCATACACACAAATAAAAATAATTCTTTAAAATAAAATATAATTTCAAAACATTAAAAATATGGGAAAGGGGCTGGGTATGGGGGCGCACGCCTTTAATCCCAGCACTTTGGAGGCAGAAACAGGTGGATCTCTGTGAGTTTGAGGGCTAGCCTGGTCTGCATGGTGCATTTCAGGCAGCCAAGGCTAGATAGGAAGACTCTGTCTCAAAAGAAAAAGAGGGGGGAGGAGGCGAATAAGGTAGAGAAGTGATTGAAAAGTGTTGTGGGATATATCTTTACACTGTGTGAAAGCATGCCATTGTCACTGGTTTAATAAAAAACTAGACTTCCAAGAGCTAGGCAGGGGGCAGAGACAATGTTGGGAGATGAGGTAACAAGCCGTGAGCCGTGGGGCAGCGCATAAATGGATGGAAATGGGTTAATTTAAGTTCTAAGAGCTAGTTAGAAACAACCCTAAGCCATAGGCAGAGCTTTCATAATTAATAACAAGTCTCCATGTGGTGACTGGGGAGCTGGCAGGCAGGACAGAGGAAGACTCGCCACAGAGAAAGAGTAGCTCACCATCAGTCTTTGACCTCCACATCACCCACAGGATGTACACAGACACAGACAGACAGACAGACAGACACACACACACACACACACCACACAGAGACTTAATATAGCAACAGCAGAATTTTAAGTCAAACTCAGGAATCTCATAAAATCCCCAGATCAGTAGGTTCCTGTAAAGTGTCCAGCTGTATGGGTTTCCTAGGACATAGGATTTTCAGTACTAAAATCGGGACAGATCTGGGGAGAACAGAACCCTTGGTCCCTCGGCCAGAACAGGAACTCCAGAGAAAGGAGCTGCACAATGTACAATGTTATGCACCCCTTCATCTGGCCTAACTGTGGGTCCACCGCCATTGCTGAACACTTCACACCCTCACAGCTGTGGCCTGCCAGCTACAGCCCCAGGCCTCAGCAATAAAGCTGAGTGTGGGTGCCCCAAAGCACAGCCTACCCTTTCAAAGAGTTCATCTAGGCTGGAGAGTCTCTGAGGCAGCGTGAAGGGTGTGTTACTCTCTTAAAGATTCTGGAAGGTGTGTAGGAAAATGGATCTGGCAGTTAAATCAGAGGGTCCAAATCACACAAGTCAGTGCCATGCCAGGTCAACAGCAGGGACTTACCTGGCTATGAGGGGTGCTGATGCTGACTGTCGATGCCCCGTGAAAGATGTAGACGGCTCCCTGATTCTCCTGCTCTCCTGGAGCCCCGACGGCCACATCTGTCAGCTTGTCCCCATTCACATCTCCCAGGACTGTCAGAGCTGCCCCGAAACGACCCCAGGGATGGCCCTGTTCGCCGTGGAGAATGGCTTCACACTGCCACCGAGCCCTCTGCTAAACAGAAACAGTGACAGGCCCAAAACCCTAGCAACCCTTCACTTCACACCCAGTCACATCTGGCCCATCCATCCATCCATCACTTACCCCTCTAGGCAAAGGACACACTGACACCTGGCCTCCTCGGGTCTGCTCATAGTAATGAGGGGCCCCAATGAGGATCAAGTTGGTATTGCCATCACCATCCATGTCCACGGAACAGAGGGAGGCCCCAAAGTAAGAGCCAATCTGAAAGAGATGGGGGGAAAGATCACACACCTCTAGGAGTTTCCTGTCTGTGAAGAAGCCAGACTTGGTGGTGCGTACCAGCACCAGGAAGGCAGAGGTAGGAGGATCAGGAGTTCAAGGTTGCATAGGGAGAAGTGTAAGCTGGAGAGATGGCTCAGTGGTTAAGAGCACTGACTGCTCTTCCAGAGGTCCTGAGTTCAATTCCCAGCAACCACATGGTGGCTCACAGCCATCTATAATGAGGCCTGGTGCCCCATTCTGGCTTGCAGGCACACATGGAAGGAATGCTGTACACATAATAAATAAATAAATATTTTTTTAAAAAAGACTCCTCTGAAAGGAAGAAGGAGGAGAACCAGATTGTGAGTGTGGGGGAGGGGGGTTGGGGAAGGCAAGATTTTCCCTGTGACTTGTGGTGACTTGAATAAGAATGACCCCCATAGGCTTGCAACTTAGAATGCTTAGTCACCAGGGAACTCTTTGACAAGACTACAAGGATTAAGAGACACGTCCTTGTTGGAAGAAGTATGTGACTGGGGGTAGATTTTGAGGTTTTCTTTTCTTTTTCATTCCTTTTTTTTTTTTTTTTGGTTTTGTTGTTTTGTTTTTGTTAATTTTTCAAGACAGGGTTTCTCTGTGTTAACAGTCCTGGCTGTCCTGGAATTTGTTTTGTAGACCAGGTTGGTCTTAAACTCACAAAGATCTGCCTACCTCTGCCTCACCAGTGCTGGAATTAAAGGTGAACACCTGACAAAATACACCATCCCTACATAATAAAGGTCTTGGAGAGAACAGGGATACAAGGAACATACCTAAACATAATAAAGGCAAGATACAGCAAGCCAACAGCCAACATCAAACTAAATGGAGAGAAACTCACAGCAATTCCACTGAAATCAGGAACAAGACAAGGTTGTCCATTCTCTCCATATCTATTCAATATAGTTCTTGAGATCCTAGCTAGAGCAATAAGACACCAAAAAGAGATCAAGGGGATACAAATTGAAAAAGAAAAAGTCAAACTCTCACTGTTTGCTGATATGATAGTTTACATAAGCGATCCCAAAAATTCTACCAAGAAACTTCTACAACTCATAAACACTTTCAATAATGTAGCAGGACACAAGATTAACTCAAAAAAATCAGTAGCCCTCCTGTACACAGATGAGAAAAGGGCTGAGAAAGAAATCAGAGAAACAACACCCTTCACAATAGCTACACATAGCATAATATGTCTCAGAGTAACTCTAACCAAACAAGTGGAAGACTTGTATGACAAGAACTTTAAATCTTTAAAGAAAGAAATTGAAGAAGACACCAGAAAGTGGAAAAATCTCCCATGCCCTTGGGTAGGCAAAATTAACATAGTAAAAATGGCAATCTTAGCAAAAGCAATCTACAGATTCAATGCAATGCCCATCAAAATCCCAGCAAAATTCTTCACAGACCTCGAAAGAACAGTACTCAACTTTATATTGAAAAGAAAAAACCCAAGATAGTCAAAACAATCCTGTATAATAAAGGAACTTCTAGAGGCATCACAATTCCTGACTTCAAACTCTACTACAGAGCTACAGTACTGAAAACAGCCTGGTATTGGCATGAGAACAGACAGGAGGACCAATGAAACCTAATAGAAGAGCCGGATATTAATCCACACTCCTTTGAACACTTGATTTTTGACAAAAAAAAATCAAAAAATATCAAATGGAGAAAAGAAAACATATTTAACAAATGGTGCTGGCATAACTAGATACTGACATGTAGAAGAATGAAAATAGACCCATATCTATCACCACGCACAAAACTCAAGTCCAAATGGATCAAAGACCTCAACATAAAGCCAGCTACACTGAACCTTATAGAAGATAAAGTGGAAAGTACACTTGAATGCATTGGCACAGGAGACCACTTCCTATATATAACCTCAGCATCATAAACACTGAGAGAAACAATTAATAAATGGGACCTCCTGAAACTAAAAAGCTTCTGTAAAGCAAAGGGCATGGTCAACAAGGCAAAATGACAGCCTACAGAATGGGAAAAGATCTTCACTAACCCCACATCAGACAGGTCTGATCTCCAAAATATGCAAAGAACTCAAGAAATTGAACACCAAAAGAATACATAATCCAATAAAAAAAAATGGAGTACAGACCTAAACAGAGAACTCTCAACAGAGGAATCTAAAATGGCTGAAAGACACTTAAGGAAATATTCAACATTCTTAGTCATCAGAGAAGTACAAATCAAAACAACTCTGAGATTCCATCTTACACCTGTAAGAATGGCCAAGATCAAAAACACTGATGACAACTTATGCTGGAGAGGTTGTGGGGAAAAGGGAACACTTCTGCATTGCTGGTAGGAATGCAAGTTGGTACAGCCCCTTCGAATGTCAGTGTGGTGATTTCTCAGACAATTAGGAAACAACCTTCCTAAAGACCCAGCAATACCACTTTGGGGTATATATCCAAAGGATGCTCAATCATACCACAAGGACATGTGCTCAACTATTTTCATAGCAGCTTTGTTTGTCATAGCCAGGACCTGGAAACAACCTAAATGCCCCTCAACCAAAGAATGGATAAGGAAAATGTGGTACATTTACACAATGGAGTGCTACACAGCAGAAAAAAATAATGACAGCTTGAATTTTGCAGGAAAATGGATGGAGCTAGAAAACATTATTTTGAGTGAGGTAACCCAGACACAGAAAGACAATTATCACATGTATTCACTCATAGGTGATTTTTAAACATAAAGTAAAGAAAGCCAACCTACAAATCACAATCCCAGAGAATTTAGACAACAATGAGGACACTAAGAGAGACTTACATAGATCAAATCTACATGGGAAGTAGAAAAAGACAAGATCTCCTGAGTAAATTGGGAGCATGGGGACCTTGGGAGAGGGCTAAAGGGGGGAGGGGAGAGGCAGGGAGGGAAGTAGAGAAAAATGTAGAGCTCAATAAAAATCAATAAAAATGTTTTTAAAAAGGTGAACAACATATCTGGAGGGTTTTTGAGGCTTTCTTTTCTTTCTCTTTCTTTTAGATTTATTTATTTATTTATTTATTTATTTATTATGTATGCAGTATTTTACCTGCTTGTATGCCTGCACACCAGTCTCATTATAGATGATTGTAAGTCACCAGGTGGTTGCTGGGAATTGAACTCAGGACCTCCAGAAGAATAGCCAGTGCTCTTAACCTCTCATCTCTCCAGCCCCGAGGTTTTTAAAAGCCCAGTGTTCCTTTATTTCTCTCTCTCTCAGCCAATAGATCAGGACGTAGCTTTCAGCTACTGCTGCAGAGATGTGTCCCCATTCTCCCGCCATGATAATGAACTAAACCTCTAAAATTGTAAGCAAGCCCCCAATGAAATGCTGTCTTTTCTAAGAGCTGCCTTGGTCATGGTGTGTCTTCACAGCAGCAGAACAGTGACTAGGACATGGTTCATAATACATTTTGAGAAAGCACAGGCACACACACAAGAGAGAGAGAGAATATTAAGGGTGAAATCCAGGACTTCAGACATTCTAGGCAACTGGTCTACCATCGAGCCACACCCCCAACCAACTGAATATGCTCCTAGCTAGAGAAATATATCATAAAGTCAAGGGGCAGTAGGATTGGATTTATCACAGATGATATTTTAGGTAAATTACTAAGGCAGCTAAGAATATGATGCATTGGAGAACACAAATATAATATTTATAAGAGTAGACATGGTACCCTTTTAGATTAGAATTATCTAGAGAAGCAAAGGATAAAGTCTAATATGGCGGGCTGGAGAGGTAGCTCAGGGTTAAGAGCATGGGCTACTCTTTCAGAGGTCCTGAGTTCAATTCCCAGCAAGCACATGGTGGCTCACAGCCGTCTGTAATGAGATCTGGTGCTCCCTTGTGTGACAGAGACATTTGTGCAGGCAGAATACTGTATAAATAATAAGTAAATAAATGAATAAGTAAATCTTTAAAAAAGAAAAGAAAAGATATCTGTATGATGTTAATAGATCCTTTAAAAAAAAAAAAGTCTAGTTTGGCCATAATCAATTTGATTGGGTAAAAACCACAATTATCAGACTGGAGGTATAGCTCGGTGGTAAACTACTTGTCCTGTATTCTCGAAGCACTGAGTAGTTTAGTCCCTAGTACTGAAAACCTTGCTGCCCAGAAAGCTCTGTGTTACCTGACCAGTAAAAATGTCTTTTTCATATGCTCTAGGTAAACACACAGCATTTATCCATAGAACCCAGCCATTTATCGCCCACTTTCTCGTTCACTCAACACAGACGTGTTTGCTGAGCACCAGACAGGGTAGCAGACACGGTGCCTTCAAGGACTCTCAGCACAGCAATGTGGAGAGAAGGAGAGCAAGTTAAACGGGGATGTGTTACAGGTTTCAAACTAGAAGTCCCAGGAAGGAAAAGTACAGAGGACTCGAGACAACACAAACTCTGCGCCCCACCACCACCACCACTGCAGGAGACTCGCTGACCACCCAGTGAAGGCTCTGGAGCTTTGTCCTGACATCAATAGCATTTTTTTAGGTCAGGTTTATTGGTGATAAATTTTACATACAATAAAATTCAGCTGTTTTAGTTATAGTTTTAGAGTTTTAACAAATATCCAGTCATATAATCATGACCACCATCAGGCTATGGCCTCCTCCTGGTGCCTCACAGTTGGCTTCTTCCCCACTGACACCACTGCTGTTTCTGTCCCTGAACCACGGTTGTTCTCATCTAGATTGCTGTGCAAATGGCTACATAGTTTGCAGACTACTTTAGACTTCGTCTTTCAGCTCGAATAATTCACTTGAAATCTATCCATATTGCTTGCGTGCATTAGCAACCCATTCCTATTGCAGCTGAGCCCTCCACTGCACGAGCCTGTCATGGCTTGCGATTCCATCCTCCAGCTCAGGGCATCCCGATGCCTCTAGTGTGATGTGGTTGGGAACAGAGCAGTGGCAAGCATTAGATTTCCGTGTGAA